TATCAATTAAAAGCAAACAACACTGACAAAAACACCCACATGAAGTAATTACATAAAATAACGACGCACATATACTCTTTGTTGTTTATGGACACACACACACACACACACACACACGTAACATTTTGTATCTTCTGCGTTAAATATGAGTGGGCTTATTAACAAAAAGCAAAAAACAATTAAATGGGGCCAGAGAGATAGTACGGCAGAGAGGGTATTTGCCTCGCATGCGGCAGACCTGGGTTTGATTCCATACGGTCCTTCAAGCACCGCCAGGAGTAATTCCTAAGTGCAGAGCCAAGAGTGAGCATTGCCAGGTGTGACCCAAAAAGCCAAAATACATACATAAATAAACACACACACGCACACACCCCAGACTGGATACTTATGCTCCTGGCTGCTTCTGGAAATGAAAACTGAGGAGGAGAATTAGGTTTACAGTGAAGAAAAATTGAAGACAAACATAACAAAGTACTTAAATGCAAGTAGCAATTCTGTTTTTGATTTGCTTGGTGGTGAGTTTCTGGAACATACCCCTGTGCTCAGGGATCACTCCCGGGTGTGTGCTTGCGGGAAGACTGTGTGTGGTCAAGGATCTAACCGAGGTTGGCTGCAGGACAGTCAAGTCCCTGATCTACTGCATCTGTGTATCAAGTGCTGACACTGCTGTATCTCTCAGTATGGATTCTGGTAGGAACATAGTTGCCATGTTACTCTCTCCAGTTTCCCATATTTAAAACATCCCCTCCTGGGGCTGGAGCATAGCACAGCAGCCGACCCAGGTTTGGTTCCCAGCATCCCATATGGTCCCCCAAGCACCGCCAGGAATAATTCCTGAGTGCATGAGCCAGGAGTAACCCCTGTGCATCGCCGGGTGTGACCCAAAAAGAAAAAAAAAAATCCCCTCTTGGGCTACAGATGCTCAATACACTAGAGCACATGTTTGTATGCAGACCAGATGCTTCTCTGCCAAAAGCCGCTGGGTTTCGAGATTTGTCTCTGAGTCTCTGGGATCATGGCCGTTAAGCAGTTCAATCAGGAACCAGAGAGGCCATGCCTCCAATTATATAGCTGAGCCGGAGGTGGTTTGTGGGTGTGTCTCCCACATACCTAACTTTTGGCCGTTTACTTTCTTGGTAAACTTTGCCCCAAGCTTTTGGGGTCTGACCAAAGACACAGCGGCAATTTTGGGGTATCTGGAAGCTTGAAGGCACCATCAGGCTGCTGATGCACTCGCCTCACAGCTACAGACTGACCTGCTGGCGGCACCATACCCCCCAAAAATGTTTTCGATAGAAGAAATCTCCTGTTCCCATTACACATACACACAAAAAAATCCAACTAATATTTTACAAATGGAGGAAGGGCATTCTTTTCAACAGAAGGAAGAAGGAAGTATTTTTCAGGTATAAAGCACTATACTTTGGTGCCCTATATAAAAATAGTCCAGTTCCTATTGAACACCTTACAAGAGACCTCCTTTATCTGTTTGATTCACCCCAATTCCCCTAATCACTACTATGTTCTCTGAATCTAGAGTTTGTTTATCTTGCACATGAATGTGGTACATTCTTATTGTGGAGTACTACTCAGTGGTCAAAAGGAATCGTTACATATTGGGACACGTAAAGATCTAGGAAAGTCTTCAGAAAATTATTCTGAGAGGAAAAAAAAAGGCAACCCAAAAGGCTGCGTGTAGGATGTGTCTATTTATTCATAACACCCTTGAAATAACAAAATCATGGTGATCGAAAACAGATTCCAGGTTTAAAGGATCAAAATGGAGAAAAGTAGGATATATAAATGTGATGAAAGGGGGTCAGAGCAATAGTACAGCGGGGAGGGCATTTGCCGCACATGCGGCTGACCTGGATTCGATCCCTAGCATCTAATAAGGTGCCCTGAGCACTGCCAGGAGTAATTCCTGAGTGCAGAGCCAGGAGTAACCTCTGAGCATCGCTGGGTATGACCCAAAAAGCCTAAATAAATAAATGTGATGATAGAAATTTTCCCATTTTAACTTTAGTAACTGATACAAAAGCCTGTTAGTTTGAATATTGGTAAAGAAGCCAGTACGTACACTTCTCTCTGTCAAGTTAAAACTAGAGGCCAGAGAAATAGTACAAGGCTCAAGGTACTTACACACAGTCAGCCCTCTGACATATGTATGGTTCACTGAACACCGCAAGGGGTCACTCCTGAGCAAAGAGCCAAGAACAGCCTCTCAGCACCACTGAGTGTGGCCTGTCCCCCAAATTAAATGAAATTAAATTTAAAATCATATTAAATCCTCTAAAATTAGCACTGAAGGAATCAGAATTAGACTAATTGTGGCTTAGTTAGGCCTCTGTGGATGGTATGAGGCCGTGGGGTTGACCCCTGGAGCGAAACTGAAGAAATAAATTTAAAAGATTGGTTGAATGTATCAGTACTGATAGCCTGCCTGTGACATTACACTATGCTTTTGAGGAGTTGTTATTTTGTTTTTTGGGGCCCCATACAGTGGTGCTCAGAGGTGATGCAACGCTGGGATGGAGCGCGGCTCTCCTGCATGCAAAACCAGCCCTCCCTCCCTTCCTTTGTCATTTTGGTGAAATTACAGAAGAAGAAACCGGAGTCCGCAGCTCCTGAGCTCTACCTCTGAACCACAACCCTGGCTCCTTCTATGGGAACCATGAGAGGAGACAGAAAGAGAGGGTCCCATAAAGAAAGAGAAGTTAAGCTGGGGTGCAGGCCACTCCAAGCTGAAGGCGGCTAGGATCACTTCCTTAACAGTGTGTGCTATGAATCCACTCCACAGTTATCTTTTTTAATCCCCATTAGTTTGGGGCTCACAACAAGCAGTGCTCAGGGTACTATGAAGCGCCAGGGATGGAATCCAGGGTTCCTACACACAGAGAATGTCTTCTGAGCTCTACAGTTATCTTAGAATAAAAAGTTTAATGGTTTTTTTTTTTTTAAGTTGTATTTTGAAAACATTATGTAAAAGGAAAAAAAGAAAGAAGTTCTCTTGGCCCATGGGTATCCTAGATGATAATCTACTATCACCTACTGCATAATTTACAATTCCAAGGGAAACTTAAGTTTTTCCACAGGGAGGTCTGCTGGAAGTTGTGTAGACAGAAGCCTACAGCAGAGAATGTGGGTTCTAGCTCCTGAAGTCGCCCATCACTCACCCACTGAAAGCGCATGCCCACAAAGCCCTTCTAGAAGACTGGATGTGATGATTTTTAACACGACGGCTGGCTGGAGGAATACAAGAAAGCTCAAACCCACTTAATGGGGGTTTAGGGAAAAGGGGAATATCTCAAAAAGATCACAGAAAACAAGCCAAGGATCCTCAGAAAATACTGTATCCACTTGTAGCAGACATGCGTTCTGCCCTCCTCCATACTCCCGCTTTGCTTCAAAACTACAGAAGGGAAAACTGCCCTGCTCGGGGAAAGACTGAATATCAGCAGAGGTCCTTGAGCTGGTCGGGAAGAAAGCAGTGTCGAAAAATGTGGCTCAGTGGCAGAGGACCTGCCTTTCCTGTGTGAAGTACTAGGTTCAAGTCCCAAGAACACACAGACACACACACACAGACACACACACACACCCTCCACTTGATATACTCTTTCTCTTGATATGCCCTCTTTCTCCACTTGATATACCCTCCATATACTCTTTCTCTTCTTTTTGTCTTCCTTTTCTTTGCACTCTTGTCCTGTTATTGGATTTTCCTCTATTTTCCTCTCATTTCCCTTATTTCAGGTTCCTAACTCATTGTTTTCCCTCTTGCCTTTTGCTAGAAGGCTCTCTCCCTGCATATTCTTTTCTGCACACTGAGCTGGACAAGAATAACCAGAGAGGTGGTGTGAGATATGTTCTAAGGGAAAGAGTAAACACTTAGCATGTGGGAGCCCCAGGGTTAATCCCCAGTATATCCCTGTCCCTTGAGCACCAAGACAGGGGTAGCACTCACGAACTGCTGAGTATGGTCTAAACCCCCCCCAAAAATATGAATTACAATTAGAAGAATAACTAACCATAGAATTATGGATTCCCTGGGCACTGGTGGAGGGATGGGTATTTGATCGTGGTATGACCGAGATCCAAGCACAAAATTTGTAAATCTACAACTGTACCACATGTTGTTTCACTAATAAAAAAAAAAAAAAAAAAAAAAAAAAAAAAAAAGAATTATGGATTCCTACCATACTTGAGCTACAAGAACACATATCTGAGAGGTCTGATACTCCAGAAAATCAAGTCCTTGGGGCTGGAGCAATAGCACAGTGGGTAGGGCGTTGGCCGTGCATGCAGCTGATCCAGATTCAACTTCCAGCATCCCACCTGGTACTCTGAACATCGCCAGGGGTAATTCCTGAGTGCAGAGCCAGGAGTAACCCCTGTGCATTGCCGGGTGTGACCCAAAAAGAAAAAAAAAGAAAGAAAAAGAAAATCATGTTCTCTCAGTAATGGTGTAGGGGGCTGGAGAGATAGCACAGCAGGTAGGGCGTTTGCCTTGCATGCGGCCGACCCGGGTTCGATTCCCAGCATCCCATATGGTCCCCTGAGCACCGCCAGAAGTAACTCCTGAGTGCAGAGCCAGAAGTGACCCCTGTGCATCACCGGGTGTGACCCAAAAAGAAAAAAAAAAAGAAAGAAATGGTGTAGGGAGAATAGCCCAAATGAACAGATCTGAGATGACACAAGGACAGGAATAAAGAGCTATCCACTTATGGCCCAATTTTTATAGTCCCCCTCTCCCTCAAAAGAAAACATTTTAAGATAATATCCTCAAATAAGACCACTGGTACCATGCTCCCATCAGAGCATAGGACGTTGGCAACAAGCGGGGAGGTGCTTCTCTCTGCCTCAGAGAAAGGCATGGAAGTGACGATAAAGGCCCCAACCCAGGGAAGACCCTTACTAGGGAAACGAGAGCTGGAAGACACGGGTGTCCATCTGCACGCACAGCATCTGGAAACCCACATGCCCGAACCTTTCCTACTTACATGGAACAGTGGAACGTGCCCACAGGGTTCTCCCGCCGGATGTCTTCATACTCCTCGTATATGCCCCTCTTCTGTCTGCTGCTAACATGGTCTATCAGTTCTTGGATGGTCATGGCCTGGGGATCCGGAACATGCACCGAGTTCCGGTCTGAGGCGGCAGGGAGGGACAGCAGGATGATCTCGTCGAGGGGATCCGGGTGGCCATTCATCTGGGGTAGGAACTGGAGGTTCCAAGTACCGAGGTCAATCTTGATGTACCCACCCAGGTTTTCTGGAAGGCACTCCTTGGGCAGGTGCTGGCTGACCTCACTCGTCTTCAGTATCTGAATCTGCAGGGCCAGAAAGAAGCGCATGAGTACGTGGGAGAGGGGGAGCGACTAGAATCAACCAAGACACAGGAGGAATCTGCTGGGCCGGGGAGAGAACACGAAGGGCACATGCGTGTCTGGCACGCAGGAGGCTCAGGCCGTGTCCCCAGCACTGTGCGGTCCCTGAGCACCAGCAGGTGTGGCCCCAAAGCAAAAAGTTAAAATCAAAAACAAACACTGGGATGGGGAGATAGCTAAGGCTTGTGCCTGGCACTCAGTAAAGACAGGCTCAATCCCGGCACCACATTAGGGGTCTCCCCAGCACTGCCAGGAGTGACCTTGACCTTGAGCACAGCCAGGTAGGACCCAACCACCAAAATCCAAAACAAATAAAAATCAAATGTGCCTATATAAGAGAATGCAGAGAACGCAGAGAGTGTAGAGGCAGAGAATGGGATGAGATGTGCTTGAAATACTAGATACACTTAGAGAGGCGCAGACTGCTTTTCATCTGCATGCAGTTAAAATCCTAGGAATTTCCAAAGGTTGGAGTTTCCAGGATGCATTTACTCCTGGAATTAGAACTCCTGTTAAGATACCTCTGAAAGTAAAGTACAATGATTAAAGGCTTCCCAATACCATTTCATGCTGATACCCACCTCCTGAGTACTGAGAATCTATAAGGAGCGGTTATTTTTGTCAACTCCATATTAAGGAAAATAACTCTAGGCCTGTACTTTCTAATTATACCGATTCTAGGCTTATACTTTCCTGAGCTTGTAATATTTATTCTCAAATTGAGATTTCTGTGAAAGCAAAACAAGTCCTGCCACCCAGAAGAAGGGGAGCTGGGGAAAATACTCAGAAGTACGCATGTGCTCCTGGTTTAGATACGGACTTGTCAAAATAAATGAACCTGACTCTCCTTGGACTCTGTAAAAGCTTGTAGCTCTTTCTCCTCTTCCTTCATCCATCTGTCTCTTAACCAGGACAACTCACAGCCCGCCTCTTCTTTGAACCCGCCCTGACGCCCGGAAGCCCTACCCTTCTCAGCCTCCCAGCAGAGCTACAGTCTCTAGAAACAGAAATAGAATAGCTACTTTTTTGTTCCCTACTGGAAGAGGAGCACTTGGGAGGGAAAAGACTGCCCCTCAAATTTTTTGTATGGAGCCACACCTGGGTTACTCAGGGTTTCAGCAATAAGCTCAGGGGTTACTCTTGGTTCTGCACTCATGAATTACCCCTTGCAGTGCTCAGGGCATGGAAGGCAAACACTCTACCTGCTGTACTATGGCTCTGGCCCCTGTCCCTCAATTTTCAAAAAAAAATTTTTTGTGGGGGGGTTCATATCCAGTTGTGCTCAAGGCTTACTCCTGGCTCTATGCTCAGGGATGACTCCTGGAAGCCTCAGGGATCTATATGGGACCAGGGATCACAACTGGCAAGGCAAACGCCCTACCCACTGTACTACTGCTCTGGCCCCTCAATTTTTAATTTCCAAGGTCTAGCACTTTAAGTGCAGTCAATATATTTTGAGCTTATACAACATATTTGATTATACAAGTCCAAGAACTTGGCTAAACAGAGTCATCTTCTAAGTCTTATCTTAGGGAATAACTCTTGTCCTGAGTCACCAAGAGTTTTCTCTCTCTAATCTACAGTATCATAGCTATTAAGATTTCCAATATTCACATAATCTTGTATTCCTGGACTACATAACTGATACTATTTTACAATGACATTATTGTATGTGTGCTTAGTTTAAAAATAAACTATAAATACAGTTTATTTTGTGCACAAGTAAGCGGCAGTGCTGGGGTCGCTACCAATGGTATACTAAGGACCATGTGGTGCCGGTAACCTAAGCTGGACTTCCCATGTAATAGGCATGTGTTTAGCCCCTGAGCTAACTCTCTTGGTCATCAAAACAACTTTATTATCTCACCCTATTAAGCCAATGTTTCACAGCCCCTCCTGTCTTTCCCTCCTTCTCCGCACATTCTCTCTCTTCCTCTCTTTCCTGTTTGCAGTGCTGGGGACTAAACCCAGGGCCATACACGGGGTAGGTGCTCTATCACTTGACCTGGTCCTATAAACCATTTTTCCCCCAAGGGTAAAAAGTGAATAAATAAAACCATTAATTCATCCATTCTGAAGCACTCAGGGTGAGGGTATTTAGAACAAAATTAAGGTAAGTTGAGTCAACAACTTTTAAATTCAGAAGCAACAGGCTATTTTAAGGGAGGGAAATACCAGGAAGAGAGAGGAAAGACTCTCCTGTGTCACCCTCATGATCAATGGGTATTTCCCATTAAGCAAATTCAGACACCACCTCAACGAATGCAGTTAGACCTGACTCTTTAACCCTGTGGAAGCCAGGGGCACTGGCACCCCAGGTAGTCAAAACCATGTATAGCTTTTGACTTCCCCCAAATTAATTAATAATCTTCTATTGACCAGAGACTTTGACGATAATGTAAGTTAACCACAGCATATGCTGTACCATGTACTCTTTATCATAAAGTAAGCTAGAGAAAAAGAAAATGTTAAACAGTATGAAGAAAACCTAGATGAAAATACATTTTTTTTCTTTTTGGGTCACAATCGGCGATGCACAGGGGTTACTCCTGGCTCTGCACTCAGGAGTTACTCCTGGCGGTGCTCAGGGGACCCTATGGGATGCTGGGAATCGAACCCGGGTCGGCCGCGTGCAAGGCAAACGCCCTACCTGCTGTGCTATCTCTCCAGCCCCTGAAAATACATTTTACAGTACTATTTTATCTACTGACTCTACAATTTATATCCTCTGCTTATAATTAATTCATATGTAAGTAGACTCATAGTCCAGAACTATCAAGAGTTAGATCAACTGTATATAAAAAGTGTTCAGTATAGGGGCCAGAGCAGGTTAGGACACTTGCTTTGCACACAGCCAACTTGGGTTCGATCCCCAGCACCCCTTAGCCCCACCAGGTGTGCCCCCACAAATAACTGTTCAGAATTAGACATAGCACAGTATATATGGCACTTGCCCTGCATGTAGCCAACCCAGATTCAATCCCCTGCACCACATATGGGTCCCTTGATCACCACCATGATGCTTGGGCACAGTTGGATGCAGCCCCAAAAACAATTTTTAGAAAGTGTTCAGGGGCCAGAACAATAGTTCAGTAGTTAGGGCGCTTGCTTTCCATGTGGCCAACCCGGGTTCGATTCCTGGCACCTCATATGATCCCCTGAGACAGCCAGAACAATCAGAACAGTCCAGAGCTAGAAGTCAGCCCTAAGCACCAGCAGGGGTGGCCCCAAAAGAAACCAAAAAAAAGTGTTCAGTGTTAGGGGTCAGAGAGACGGCAAAGAAATGAAGGTGAAGGTGCTTGCCTTACATGCAACTGACCCTGATTCAGTTTCTGGCACCACATGGTCCTCCGGGTACACCAGGAGTTACCCCCCGGCACAGAGCCAGGAGCAGAGCCCGAGCAGCCCTGGTGTCACTCACACACAGTGCAGTCGGAAAGCCCCATACACTGGGCACGACTCTGGCAACAGGAGGTACCTGTAAACGGCCTAGCAGGCACACTCCCTCATGCCATCTTTTAAGAAAGGTGCTTCTGTGGGGAATGCCAGGCCATATCCAAAGAAGGAGGGCGGGGGGGAAGGAGAATCCAGGAAATTGAAAGAATCTTTAGTGGGAGGGGAGAAAACGCCTGGACACCGAATTGGGGATCAAAGCGAACACCTGAACAGAGCACGAAGCACTCTAGGAAGAAGGCAGGAGGACCTGGGGGAAGGCAGAAAATTCCCTGGCAGGATTTCAAGCAGTGGGGCGGGAGGTGTCTCTCCACCTTCAAATAAAACACGGGAGCTCGCCTTACCCTCTCCCGGACTTTATCCTTCAGGAGGAGGCTGATGATAGAGTAGGGTACTCGGAACCAAATGGGAGCTCCCACGATCAGCACCTTCTTCAGACGCGCCGGGAAGGCACCCTGCGGAAGAACACGGAGAGGACTGAAAGAGACCTAATGGCCACTGGCAGCAGTGCCCCAGGGGACCTGTGACTCGGAAAGCCCACATTTTAGGGGTAGGGGTCTTCCCCCACATTTTGACCCAGTGCGGGCTACAGCCTGAAGTAATCTCACAGCTTGAGATAAGAGCAGCATCACAAATCACAATCACAAATCATCCTGTTAGTCGTCGATTGCCTCGAGCAGGCCCCAGAAACGTCTCCTTCATCCTAGCCCCGAGATTATATTCAAGGCTCTTTAGGAGAATGAGACCCATCATTGTTACTGGTATTTGGCATGTTGGGTACGCCACGGGGAGTTTGCCAGACTCTGCCCTGTGGGCAGGCTACATGCCAGTTTGTCCAAAGAGCAGCATAAACAGAAATAAATCAGGGGTCTAGAGAGACAGCACAGGGGTAAAGTCAGGTGCTTTGACCTCTGACATCACTGGTGCCCTGAGCATCACCGGCCACTGCCCTGGACGCCTCCTGCACCACAAGTCGTAGCCCATGTAACGCGCCATGCAGGCCAGAGCAGTAGCACAGCTTTGGTCCCTCGCATGAACTGCTAGCCCAGTGGGCTGAGAGACACCAGTGGTTCGCCGGGACCTTCTTGGCACTTCATGGAAGATTCCCCACACAGACCGGCAGAAACTCAGCCAGAGATAGCTCAGCAGGACTGGGCACCTCTCCTGCATGCAGAAAAGCCTAGGTTCAATATCCATCACCAAAGGGTTCCCCGAGCACCAACAGAACCCTGCCCCCCACACACACACACGGCACAAAGCGGGGAGCAGCACCAAGTGTCCCCCAAAACCAAATTAACTGCAACTGAAAAGGAATAAAAGGTGACCGACCTTTTAAAATAACGTGTCTTTTTTTGCTTTCTGGGTCACACCTAGCAATGCTCAGGAATTCCCCCTGGCAGTGCTTGGGGCTCCGTATGTAATGGGGGGGTGGGGGGGATTGAACCTGGGTCGAATACCTGTAAGGCAAACGCCCTACCCATTATAGTATTGGGCTGGCCCCACTAACTCACAGTTGTTGTTGTTGTTTTTTGTGAAACCTATTTCTTGTTCGTTTGTTTTGTTTTGTTTCCACACCCAGCTGTGCTCAGGGCTTCTGACGGGCTCTGTGATGAGAGATCCCTCTTGGTGGTGCGCGGGGAACCATCTGTGGTGTCACAGGTTGAACCTGGCTCAGTCACACATAAGGCAAGCGCCTTACCTGCTATACTATCTCTTTGGTAGCCCCCAAACATACTTTTAAATATTTCTTGCTTGATGGATTAAAACTTATTTTTGAGATTTCTTGAGTTAGCCCACAAAGCACATGTACAGAAATCTTTTAAAGGCTGTATTTACTGAAAACTTTAAAGCTTAATTAAGGCCTTAACTGGATTATTAAAAATTAGAATTAGATTATGAAAAAAATGAACATGAACCATTTCTCTCCCAATCTTCTCTTCACTTTCATTACTGTCTATTTATAATCATTTCTTTAAAAAAATTTTTTTTTTATTTGAGGGGCACCAGAGCAATAGTACAGCAGGTAGGGCATTTACCTTGCAAAACGGCTGACCCGGGTTCAATGATCTACTCCCAACTCAAAACTCTTTGCTTCATATAATCAGTCCATGAAGCCAGAGAGATACCATAGCAGGTAAGGTAATCACCGACCTGAGTTTGATCCCTGACACCACATATGTTCCCCTGAGCAAAGAGCCAGGAGCAAACCCAAGCACCCCTGGGTGTGGTCCCAAACTCCCCTCTTGTCCAAAAAAAAGTTCAACCCTTCTCACAGTCAGGAATACCATGTAATACTGGCATTCTAATTGGGAAGAATTACTCCCAGGGAAGACAAAAAGGAGAAAACTATAGCTAAATATATCTTTTATTTCTCCTGATTCTTTTTCAAAGACTAATTCTGGATTTTGGTATGTCATTCTTTACTTACACTATAATTCAACTAATTTGGAGGGTCTGCAAAAGAGAATATAGAACAAAATTCTCCAAAAAATCTCTTCACTGAAGTCAAAAAAACTCTCCCTTTCATGTCTGCCTTTAAGGATACAATAATTTATTTCATGCCCCTTTAACTGTAGATCAAAATCCAGTCTGAAAAAAAAAATCAAAATTTCTAGGAAAAAAGTGGACATCATTCCTTCAGAGGAAATATAGACTCAGGCCTAGTCCACTTCAATAATTATGTTTCAAATACAGATCTGATGATACAGTAATTTCATAATGCCTTAGGAAGCTATCTGGGGAAAAAGCAGGGGTTGGAGAAGACAGTATGGTGGGTAAGGCCTTGAATAAGGCCAACCGTGGTTCCACCTCTGGCATCCCCCAGTATCCCAGGGGGATCTCTGAGTGCAGAGCCAGGAGAAACACCTGAGCACCTCTGGGTGTCCCACCCTCACTCCCCCATCACACACAAAAAAGCACTTGGCATTACATACATTGCAAATTGTGCATGGCCCTGGATCAAGTAATTTCACTCTGAGCTTCTACCTTAAGAATATAGCCAGAAAACTGGGGAAATAACAGGTAAGTAGGACTTAACAAAGGTGATGCGTCTTTTAATACTAATATTATTATGTAACTTCTTATTTCTTTGGGGACACACCCAGCCATGCTCAGGGCTTACTCCTGGCTCTGTAGAAAGGGATCACTCTAGGGCTGGAGCGACAGCACAGTGGGTAGGGCGTTTGCCTTGCATGCGGCAGACCCAGGTTCAATTCCCAGCATTCCGTATGGTTCCCCCAAGCACTGCCAGGATGATTCCTGAGTGCAGAGCCAGGAGTAACCCCTGAGCATCACCGGGTGTGACCCAAAAAGCCAAAAAAAAAAGGAATGGATCACTCCAGCTATTTCTCAGGGACCATGCCTGGAATCAAACCCGGATTGGCAAACCGCCAAGGCAAACACCCTAACCAGCTGTACTGCTTCCAGTCTCTACTATATAACCTCTAATATAAACACTTCAAAGGTTTTTTATTTTAACTTCAGAAAATGCTCACAACATATTCTTAAACAGGATCAAACCTTAAGTTTCTTTAAAATTATACTACACACACATAAAAGAAAACCAAGAAAAAATATGAAAAATGAATTTACAGACATATACAGTTGAAATTCATCATCAAGAGCTATGTTCCTGGGACCGAAGAGAAAGTACAGTGGACACTTGCCTTGCATGTGTCCAACCCAAGTTCAATCCCTGACATTCTATATGGTCCCAAGACCCACGGAGTGAGTGATTTCTGAATGCAGAACCAGGAGATAATTCTTAGCACTGCCAGGTATGTGGCCCAAAAAAACAAAAAGCAAAACAAAACTATTATACTCCTTATGAAACAGGGGATCTGGCTCACTGGTAGAGCACCTGCCTCGAATGTGGGGCCCAGGGTTCAAACCTGCTTCTCACAGAAACACACACACACACACACACATACATACATGCATGCACAAATAGTTCAATACAGGCTAATAAGCCTGTGGACACTGATAATAGAATTAGGGTTATCTGAGGATAAGGAAGTAAAGAGAGGAAGATAAGGCGGGGAGAGGAATAAAAATTGAAAAGAAAAGAAGCACAATAGTTTATCAATAAGAATATGTAACATTTTGGTTTTATTCTTTGTATTTTATCTTTTGAAACACTCTGACTTTGTTACCTTTTATTTATTTTTCGTTACATTTTAAATGTTTATACTGGGGCTAGAGTAACAGTAAAATGTGTAGGGAGTTTCCCTTGCAAGAGGCTGGCCAGGGTTGGATTCCCTGCACCCTATACGGTAACCCAAGTATGACAGAATGATCCCTGAGTGCAGAGCCAGGAGTAAACCCTAAGCAGAGTCACATATGGCCTAAAAAACAAAAGCAAACAAATAGTTTATACCCTCTGTCCTAGTACTTTTATCTCCAGAATTATGCTCCGAGAAAAAATTTTAATGAGGACACAAAAACTTGGATATAAAATATCTATTGAAAAAAACTGTCAAAGGAAAAAAAAAAACAAACAGAAATGGTAATACCACAGTAAACGCGGGCTCAATTTATTCAGCGATTTCAAATATTCACAAAATAAAACTGTCAGAGCTTATTGTATATTGACATTATCTTACACACCGTCGTAACCAGGAACAGAAGGCAGAGATGAGGGGCAAATGCGAAGCCCCGGGCTCGGTCCCAAGCACCACAGAGACGCCCAACCGAACTGCCGGGAGCAGCTCAGCAGCCCCTGAGCGCTGTCAGAAGCCACAGGAAAAATACGCCCTGTCAGTAATGAGTATAAAAGTGCTGTGGTGCGGCCGGAGAGAGCACAGCAGGCAGGGTGCTGGCCTCGCGCACAGTCAATCAGTTGCGATCCCCAATATCATGTTTCCCTGGGCACAGCCAGGAGGAATTCCTGAGGCAGGGCTGGGGTTGACCCCTGGACATCACTGGGTGTGACCCCCAAACAAAAACAAACAAAATCTCATGTCATTCTCTTTCCAGCAATCTCTGGAGCTTCTTTCCTCTAAGATCTCCATTTGAATTGCTTCCAAATTTACCCTTCTCCCACGAGAGAAAAAGTATAAATGGCAAAATCCTCACTTGTTATAATAGCACATGTGTACACACACACACACACACACACACACACACACACACACACACACACACAATCTCACTTTCTTCTCTCTCCCCTGGTGAAGGAGTGATCTTGGGCCCGAGAGAGAACAGGGCAGTTTAAGGCACTTATATTGCATCCAGCTGACCCCAGTTTGTTCCCTGGAACCACAGGGTCCCCAGAGCACACCCACGAGCAACCTCCCAGTATTTGCAAAGCAGGAATAGCCGCCAGCACTGGCAAGAATGGCTCCAAATCTCCCACCCTCACTATCTAAAAAAAAAAAAATCAATGACCTTTTGCATAGACTATTTTAGTGTCTGCTAGATATTTATACACATAAAGCTTTTTTTTTTTTGGAGTCTA